TAAAATGATCAGCTGGCCAGAATCCAGCAGCACATGCAATTCTGAACACACTACTATTCATCCATATATTGTACAAGAACTATGCTGATTTCAAGTAGGCATCCAGATGGAATTTGTTGTGCTAGTTTTCTATCTTTAAAGCCCTACATGGCATGGGGCTAAGTGACACATGGAATTTCTTGTCTCCAGTGATTTCTGGCTATCCCACCAGATTTGACAAAATAGGCATGACCCAGTGTCAGGTCTATCCCAGTTTGGGCAAATAGGAAAGAAAGACCCTCGACTCCATTTGTAGTGAAAGGTAAATTTTACTAAAGGCCAAGTGGTTATATTGTTAGAAAGCCAGATCTGAAGATTCCCGCATAAGCCCAGGTCATTAACCCCTCCCCCCTGGTCATCTCTCTAGTGTCTAATAAAGTTCAAGCTAGTTGTTTTGGTAACAGTTCTGAGGATTGGCATTCTTTGATGAGTGGTTGCATTCCGTTCCCATGCCTGTGTCCTTGGATCATTCAAGAGGTGGGCTCTTGGAGTGATTTCATCCCCCCTCCCTGTAATTCCTCAAGCAATGAGATGGCAGATCTGACATCCAGATCTGCCATCTCATTGGCAGATGGCAGATGGCAGATCTGACATCCAGATCATTTCTACAATGCAATATTACTCGGCCAGGCCCAGAAGGTACAGTTTTTCTGTCAGAATGCCTGCCCTGTGAAATAACCCCCTTGCAATATTCAAATGAGCTCAATCCTACCAGACCTCCAGAAGTCCTTGAAGTCTCGGCTCTTGTAACTGGGCCCAGGATGTTAGTGGAACCTGATATGATGTTCCAGGATTGTATCCATGACAAATTCACCAAGACTCCAAAAGAATCCAAAGGAAAAACAGTAATAAAGTTTAACTGTAGTATTAATGCTATTTCAAATATCCTTCAGAGAGAAAACAATTTTTAAGGTGCAAAGCTATTAATAAAAATGAAGAGATTGTATTGGACTTCAATTCCTATAACACCTTTCTCATTTGCAATGATAGGAGTTGATATCGACCAGAAAAGGGGAGAGAGAGAGAGAGAGAGAGAGAGAGAGAGAGAGAGAGAGAGAGAGAGAGAGAGAGAGAGAGAGAGAGAGAGAAATTTAGAACACATCTGGGATTGCTGGAAGGTATAAAATAACAACTGCTAAATGCCTCAGCAGCAGGCAGGTTTGTGCAATAAAAGGTGAGGTTCATAAACCTGAAGGCAAAAGATAAAAACCACAGAAACTTTCTACAATAATCTGAGGAAAGTTCAGAAATAGAGTGGGTTGAAAAGGCAGGGAAATTCCCTAAATAAAAGATATATTTGAGCCCGGGCTACCTCAAACATCATACAACGTGACATCTCAACTCACGACAGGAATTTCCCCCACCTACATCCGCTTAGGAAATCAGCTTCAGAATTTGGAAGGACAGGGATTCCAGGAGGAAGGGGAGAATTATTTGGCCAATATTATCTGCTCTCTAACCAATAAATGTCAGTGAATAATAAATAGTATACATCTATATCTATCTATCTATCTATCTATCTATCTATCTATCTATCTATCTATCTATCTATCTATCTATCTATCTTTCTATCTATCTATCTTTCTATCTATAGAGATAGAGATAGAGATAGAGATAGAGATAGAGATAAATAGATATAGAGATATATAGTCTATATCTATACCTATATCATATAGATATAGACAGACAGACAGACAGACAGACAGACAGACAGACAGACAGACAGACAGACAGATAGATAGATAGATAGATAGATAGATAGATAGATAGATAGATAGATAGATAGATAGATAGATAGATAGATAGATAGATAGATAGATAGATAGAGCTGGAGCTGGAGTTGGAGCTGGAGCTGGAAATAGAGATAGAGATAGAGATAGAAACAGAGACAGACAGATATAGATATAGATATAGATATAGATATAGATATAGATATAGATATAGATAGATAGATAGATAGATAGATAGATAGATAGATAGATAGATAGATAGAGAGAGAGAGAGAGAGAGAGAGAGAGAGAGAGAGAGAGAGAGAGATTTAATACAAATAATAATAAATAATAAATCCATATTTCCTGCCTTGCCTATTCAGTATGAAAGCATATCATTCAAAAAGGTGTTTCAACGTGTCCATCTAAAAGCCTTGAATCACCCACAGCTTCTCAACAGGTCAAGGTAGCTGCCTGGAGGCACTTCTAAGGTCTTCACAGCAGAGCAGTTTCAAGAAGAAGGCCCAGAGGACTGTTTTGCTCATTGGATGCTATGTACAAGCCTAATGTTGGCACTGTACCAAAATCTAGCTTGTGTAGAAGTTAAGGCATCAAACTAGAAACTGGGAGACTCTGAGTTCTTGTCTTGGGCTCAAAGCCACATGTGTTGCTTGGGCCAGTTACTCTCTCAACCCTAGGAAGGAGACAATGGAAAACAATTTCTAAAAAAACTTTGCCAAGAAAACTTGTCCAGGCATTCTCCAATAATTGGACACAATTGACTGGGGGAAAAAATGTCTGCCATAGACAGCCACAAGATAGAAGAGGGACATTACTGTGGAAAAAAAATCAAATTTATTATGGGAAAGAGAACTTGAAATGTGTATATGCAGAATATACAACAAATATATAAAATATACACATTTATATACATATCTCTATACAGAGTATTATAATTACCCCTTGGATGGGGTGCCAGGAATGGCTTCTCACCTGAAATGTGTCTCAAAGGAGAATTTCAATGACAATCTTATGGGTGGTGGAGATTGCTCTTGCTATTATTAATTTACAAGTCAGGTAAGATGTGTGCATATGTGGATGCTATTTTTCATGGATATCTCCTTCTCCAGAAGCCTGACATTGTGAAAAAAAATCCTTACAAGAAAGACAGCATGAAAGAAAGACATTATGAAACACTTCATGAAATGAAGATGTCATGAAAGGACAAGATGTAATAAAAAGGACATCTAAGAAAAAACATCCTGAAAAATACCTTACAGACTTTTTTGGAACAGGAAATGGGGTAATCCACACCATTATAATAAGAAAAGTGAGAACTAAAGTGTAGCAGAACAATCTCCAAGATTTAAACTGGATCAGTAATATCTGATAGATTGGACCTCCTTTTAATATTGGACTGACATCAAATTTTTGAGGTGAAAGATGTTAAGTAACATTTAAGCAGGGAAAGTGTCTGGTGACAATGCTAGTTTACTTTCCTTTATGTAAGAGAGTGTTGGAGATTCAAGATATATTTGAAATACTTGCTTTGTCGGCAGAAAATAATACCCAACTAATAATGGGCTATCCCTCTCCTGAAGCTTCACCCCTATGTTATCTCACTTTTCTGATTGCACACATTTTATACTTCAATTTTTTTCATATCCAGATGCTACTTTGAAGGGTTAATTGACCACTGTAGCAAACATGAGGAACTTGCTGCTGTCTTATCACTCCATGTTGTGATTATTTATCTACCCCTAAGACAACATTTGACTGGTCCAGATATGCACCACCAACTCTTGGCGGAAGCATTATTTAATATGTCATTTTTATGTACTGTAGCCAGACATTAGGGCTCAGATCTCAATCTTGTAGTCTAGCCATAACGGCATCATCTTGAACATAGTGGGATTTCTTTCTGAGTAAATATATCCTACTAACAAATCAGACATCTCCTTAAGAGAGAGACAGGGAAGCATGAGGTGAGGTGGATATACGACACAATATTTTCTGAAAGTTTTTTTTTTCATATATTTTTAAAACATTCAATGAAATTCAAAAATATGATTCTGGGAGATTCCAAGAAACTAAGACTGCCTATGGCCTTCATGACAACCAGGCTGCAAATTCAAACATTGTATTCCCGTCCCGTTCCATCCCTTCCTCAACCCAACTTTGTCTGTTCATGAGCTGATGTCATTTTGACAGTCATCAGTGCTTTCCTCTAGTCTGAATTCATATGATTATGACTTACAAATAATCTTAAAATGTTAGTCATCCCATGCCAGGTCAGTACCCTATAAGGAATTGACTGACATAAGTTGGTAAACATTTTTAGTTCTTTGCAGGGCTTTTTTTCTCGGAGAAAAGGTGGCGGAACTCAAACCTGGCCACGCCCTCATCAAACCCTAGGACCGCCCCTTTAGAGAACAGGAATGCAAGTAAAATTTGGGAGGGGCTATTTCCGGTGTGGGAGGGGCTATTTCCGGTGCGGCCGGCCCGGAAAAAGGTGCCGGAACGCGGTTCCGCCGCGTTCCGGCTGAAAAAAAGCCCTGGTTCTTTGTTTACATTCTGGGTAAAAGCTGGAGCTGTACAATGAAGTAACACAATGAACTCATTCTCTGTACTTTAGAACTGTATCATTTATTATAATTACTACAGCTATTTACCATTATATTAATTAATGTTAACTGAACATATGTACCCGGACACAATCTGTTTGCTAAAGCTTAAAAATGTTATTGGGGGGTAACGCCAATGTTGTTTCTAATCCTGTCCTAACCCCAATCCCGATCCTAACCCCACCTCGAACCTTAATCCCTATCCCGGTCCTAGCCCTTCCCCAACCCTATAAAACTCAATAAAAATTTCTATTAAAAAAAAGAACTGTATGCATAGGGTATTCACATATATACATATGTGCATATGCATATACACACAGTTAAAAAAATAGAGAGCATACAAAACATATTGAAGATATGCTTCCAGTTAATAGTTAGAACATAAATGGTAACTTTCTTGTGCTTAAAGCTTGGAAGATTGCAACATCTGCCAAGATGAAGAAATCATATTAAATCATTTAACACAGCACACTTGTTCTTTTACCCACATCTTCCCACCTCCCATAGCCTCTGTCATCGATTAGGTAATAATTTCAGTTGAGGCAAGCTTAAATCAGTTTGCAAGGCACCCAAATGCTATATAAGTAGACAGCACATCTTAAAGCTAGCTATCCCTTGGCTTGGAAGCAGAAAAACAAGAGTCAGGATGAGAAGCATCTGGCTTGTCCTCTTTGGTGGGGCAATAGTTTTTGCTTTGCCTGTAAAACACGAAAAAGAAAAAATGGTGCTTATGCAGGTAAGGCCAAAGATGCAAATGGAAGTGTGTGTTGATGCAAGGTAGTTATATATCTATAATAATGTAAGAAATATAAGCAATAGCAATAGCATTTAGACTTTACAGCACTTTCTAAGTGGTTCACGGAATCAGCAGTGCCCTTAACATTACTGATCTAATTATTATTATTTTATTTCTCACACACATACACACATAAACACATACACGTAATTATTTTGTTCTCTCCCAGAAGTATATAGAAAACATGGGATTAATGAAAATAGAGAAAGGTGAGAAAAAGATGCGAAAAGCCCCCCTCTTGCAAAGATTGAAAGGTGATAGCTTCCAGGAATATAGAAGTATCTATCTATCTAGACATCTAGTATTACACAATAGTGTTTTACTTGGACCTCAGCTTATGTGTTATATTTATAAACAAACATCTAAAATTCTAAAATGTAATCTAAAATCTATGGAAAATATAATGGAAAATGTAACTGTGTTTAAATAGTAAAATATTTTCTTACAAAGAGGACTTATCAAGAATAATAGTTGGGCTATTCACATTCATCCCAGGAAGCATTGTGGACATTTAAAATGATGAAGAATATGGGAAGATCTGTCCTAATTACAACAAGTACAACAAAACTGATGTGTTCATATTTGCCTTAAATAATTGTTGTAGATAACGGATTTGACCAGAGACTTCTAAATCATCCTAAAATATAAGCAAATTGATTAATAGATTTATATATTTTTTCTATTTCAGAAGTACCTAGAAAAATATTACAACTTTACATCAAACGGACAACAAGTCTTTAGAAGCAGAATTAGCAACCCCATGGCAAAAAAGATCAGAGAAATGCAAACATTTATTGGATTAGAGGTGACAGGTGATATAGACTCCAATACACTGCAGGCAATTCAAAAACCCAGATGTGGAAACCCAGATGTGGGACAATTTGCCTTCTTTGCAGGTCAGCCCAAGTGGCAGAAGAAACATCTAACCTACAGGTAATCTTTCAACTCAAGTTCTCAAGAGAAAGGTTGACATAATTCATATTGATGCTGAAAGGAAAACCTCCTTCTGAATTTGGGTCCTGTTTATTTTTTCAAAGGATACTCAACTACACACCAGATATGGAAATAGGCAATGTTGACAAAATCATTGAGAAAGCTTTTAAAGTTTGGAGCCAAGTTACGCCTTTGACATTCAAGAAAGTTCCAGATGGCAATGCCGACATATTTATCTCTTTCCAATCTGGAGGTAAATAAGCTATTATACATATATAATCTGATAATAGGTTCTATATATAAGGGACTTGTGCATATAATTAATGCATTCATAACTCTTACATCAGGACTTTTCTTAGTCTTAGAACTTTTCACTTGCCAAATGAAATACACTTTCTACCGATAGTATTTAGATTTTTTAACTATTGAATATACATCTCATTTCAGAATTCTAGGGCTTGAACATCAACACTTAGAAGTGTATTGTGTCCTCATAAATAATCACACCTAACTGGCATCTAACATTTGTTTTCCTAGTGCAAAGGTTTTTATTAGAATTCCAGTGTTTATTACTATAATGACCCCAAGGTAACTTCACTGAAATGAAGCTTATCTTTCCCCATAAAAAAGTAGACATAAACAAAATTATGTACCCAAACATCTTGAGCAATGTTGTGCATCTATATGTAGCCCCATTTATGCAATAACTGATCCTTCTTTCTTTTTGCAGTGACTCTGATAAAAAAAACTTGTATATCCTTATCTTTACAAACTATCTTGTTAAGATAATGATTTGTTACCCCTCTCCTCCCCAATAACTGGCAAAATTGACAATGATGCTGTACTGGCAAAGTTTGTTTTCTGGCTAGGAGTCCATCATCTGTGTCTGTGTTCAGTATCTTCAAGCATCAGACTAATTTGGAATTCCAAAATTAGGACATTAACTCATTAAAGTCCGTAGCTTGTCAAAATCCTTGATACAAATAAATTTCAGTTCATGTGATCCTCCTCATTACTTCTGATGAATCTAAGCATAATTTTATGCACCTTCAGTTTTGCTTAAAGCTGATGAAAAACAAAAGACAGAAAGTTGAGTATTATTGTAGAGTAGATGGCATATTACAAGAAATCTATTTTGAAAGTTTACACAAAAACACTAACTTATCTCAGGGATTAAAGCGATGCTTGAGACAAGACAATATTTTTTTTCCTGATATTTTTAGTTCATGGAGATTTTTATCCTTTTGATGGACCTGGTGGAATACTTGCCCATGCCTATGCTCCTGGTCTTGGCATTGGAGGAGATGCCCATTTTGATGAAGATGAATTCTGGAGCTATGGTGTAGAAGGTAATACTGAAGATAAAAGATTTGAGAACAAAATCATATTAAAAAGTTGTTTTTAAATATCTCAAAGATGCTTTTTCAAAAGGCAACTGGACTATGTTTTTCCTTGAAGACAATTTACTTCTCATCCAAGAAGCTTCTTCAGTTCTGAAGCTTCTGGAATGAGAATCAAAACATTTTCAAGGATAATCAAAGTCCAGTGGTCTTCTGAAAAAGCATCTTTGGGACAACCAGGACCTGGTTGACTGAGAATCTCCATAGACGTTCTTAAAAATCATTGTCCTCAAGAACAAACTTGCACAGAAAAATAAGATTTATAGTAACAACTTACCAAAATGTGATGATAACTTTGATCAAACAATGATTCCTTTCACAATTGCAGTAGTTTAAAGCAATACAATTTGTACATATTAGAAATGCTATTATAGGAGATTTTTGACTGTAGATAAGTAAAATACGATAAGTAAAATTATGATTACGGTACATTGACACCTATATTGATAATATCTTTTGGTTGCCATTTATGTTTAATTTTTCTTTTCATTTTTTTTTCATATTGACTTTTAACTAGTTAACTGGAAATTGAATGAATGAATGAATAAATAAATAAATTAGCAAGCAACATTGTAATGATAAAAGCAGGAGCTGGCCTGGGACAGGGGCCACAAAATATAATAATAGTTAAAATGACAATCTTGTTCTTTAAATCTCATGGCGTTTCATATGAAAATGCAGAAATCTCATTTCAATGTTTTGGCAAGAACAACATTCTTCTAAGAATAGCAAAATGTGGTGATTGTGTAAGATTTCAGCCACACTTTTGAAATAAAATTTTAATTTAATTTTGGAGACTCGTACTTGTGATCAAGAGGATGTTATAGGTAGCATCTTGTGAACTTGTTAGCAAAACAAAAAACAAGTAGGGAGGAAAAAAGGTGGGAGTGTAATTAGAACTAGAAAAAGACACTTGAATGAATATCTCTCACAGAGAATTCTAAACAGTATTATAGAA